GGATCATTCAGGAAGTTGACTTTATTTAAAACCATAAAGGGAAACATAGCTTCTCTCAAAAATAGTAACCAAAATAATTTCCTTGGGAAGTGTTGTTGATAGAGGCTTATTAATAATAATAATACACAACAAGTATAAAATGCATATTATGTGCCAGAGACTAGTGTACATGTATTCATTCATTTAATCTTTCCAACAGCCCTATGATAAGGGTTCTGTTTTTCCCCGTTTTACAGATTAGGAAAAAGGCACCAAGAGGTTAAATAACTTGGCCAGGATTACACTTGGTTAGGAAGTGGTAGAGCTGAGGGTTGGCCCAGAGTCCGTGGCCTTCCCCACGCTACAGGACTGCCATTTGAGTCTCAGTTTTACATTCATTGCGTTTCTTTGGTTTATCAATGAAGTTGCCCTTTATCTTCCCTCGAGTACTTTGCTAACAATGAGAGCAGACTGTCTAGGCAAGCGGGGGTGCCTCGGTTATCACACTTCTGGTTCCAACATCTGGATTTCCCACAGAACCGTCAAATGAAAGACACTTTAGTATACTTTGAAAAATAAAAAATAAGTCTCCATTAAAGTGGTTAAGTATAGTGATATTTAAGGCTCACTTCTAGAACAATAGCTGAGAAAATAAATGTAGAACTAGACTTTGATGCCTTTTTCAAAAATCCTTAGCCGTTGTTAAATAGGTTTTGGAAAATCTCTTTATCTGATGCATAGTCATTGATCTGATTCTGTCGTTCACCCATCTCTTAAATTGGTGACCAGAACATGGTCCTCAGGTGTACCTACCTTGGCCCTGGGCCTGCTGCATCTCTGCAGTCTGCCTTCCTCAGGAACCAGTGTCGTTATAACCATTTAACAAGAAAGTACTGTCAATTAGCTATGGGAGAGACCTGGGCTCAATTTCTGCTTTCAGCTCCTACTTCCTCAAGCACATAAGAATCTGAAAAGAACCGTAAAATTAAACTGCTGCAAGAAGTTCCTGACTCAGATGAAATCTATGAGTTCCTTTTTGAAATCAGAATAATTTTTTTCTGTTGCTCTGCTTTGGTAAGATCCCACCTCTTCTGATAAGTGCCTTAGCACCTTTAGAACTGAAATTTTAATTCCTTTTTCTCAGCAACTAAGACTTACAGCTTACTTCTGCTAGGGACCTGGGAATCACAAAACTTCTACCTCAACCTGAAGCTGTTTGCTAAACAAGTTGGCATATCTTTCAGAACAAGGCATTACTTTTTAAAAAATACATTTAAGTAGAAAACACATTTTGAAACATATACATCTCTCATGGGGTTATTTTACTTTATAAATGAGACATGGAGAAGGGACTCATTCCATTCTCAAGAGCAGCTTTTTCTGTCTGTTCACAAAGGATAGAACAGTGTGGGAGAAATGGCTGGGGCTTTGGATGCATTTGACCTGGCTTTGAATCTTGACCCCACTATTACCATTACTTAGGGCTCTGAGCCTCCACTTCCCCATCTGTAAAATGGGAATTATAATGCTACGGTTATCTGTGAACAGAGAGGCCAGTTACAATTAACTAGAGTAGAAATGATGGCAGCAACTTGATAATAAGATGTTTGTACACTCCGCTCTTTCTAGCCCATAATTTAGAAAAAGAGCAAATGGTAACTAATAGGTAATAACAATAACGAGCCCATTAGGAGGCCAAGAAAAGATTAGTGGTAGTTATGGAGTGCAGGAGGAAGAGCTGGAGCCTTAAAATTAGATGACTTTTAATCTTGACTTTACTACTTATTAGCTGAGTTGCCCTGGGCAAGTTATTTCATTTCCCTGAGTTTTGATTCCCTCTTTTGTAGAATGGGGACTAGAGTATCAGCCTTTTTATACCCCAGAATTGTCGTGAGCCTCAGGTGAAGGAACAAAGTGTGCTTTGTAAACCAGAAGGTGTGACCTGGCTGCCAGAGGCCTTGGGGATGAGTCCTTATGGGAGGACACTGAAAGCCTGCCCTTGCGTCCCAGCCAGGTCCAACTACCTGTGTTTATAAGCATGTGTTTTGGATGCATCTAAGATGACACACTGTGTTTCTGCGGAGCATGTTTCTGCAAAGCAAGAAATGAGATACTTTTTCTGGGAGGAGTGTTTTCATAGTTGCTCTAAAGGGTCCGAGGTAGGCCTGGTGAGGAAATTTCAGTTATATTTGCGACTGGAGAAAGGTGAAAGTCGAGGCAGGAATTTTTATTGGGAGCAGTGAGAGGACTAATACAGTAATAAAGGAAAAGGCCACAAGAAGTGAAGGGAAAGAGTTTGGGGTTTAGAGCAGGATTTCCACTTACCGTTATTAAACCTAATAATTCAAGGTTTTGCATTTGGGGAAGAATAATCAGCCATTGTGCTTCGGTGGAAAACATCCAAGCATTGACTTTTCAGAGACTCTGGGGCTCCTCTGACCTGGCTTTGACTGGCGTCTAGAAGGAGAAATCACTATCTTTTCCATGTGTGCAAAAGGTCAGGCGTCTAAATGGATATCTCTTCTTTAAAAAATCTCTGTGATGATAAATGTGTGCATGGGATCTGGTGAAGCCGGGACTTCCTTTGTAATTCTCATTTCTCACTTCTCTCCTTGGCCCAAAGATAGATACTGGCCACATTTGAGTATGGAAACTTTTCAGCCTTGCCGTGTTCTCCTCCCTCTTGAGAGTCATGTTCTGTTCAAAAAGAGCTGAAAAAAAATGAAGGCTGTTTTTTCACTTGGGATAAGAAAATCCTTCTCAAAGCAGTAAGGGCTCTGTGAGAGTAACAGGATCCATATGCTGAGGCTGGCTGCTAATACACAGCATATGGGCCAGTGAACTTTCCAGGCAGAAGTATGCCTGTAATTCTCTAAAGAATGCCCCAGTAAACTCCAGAAAGGACCATCACTTAGGTGACAGATGGCATCGGCGCAGCTTCTGGGCTTCACAGGCCTGTTGTTGCATGGAACGTGAGCCACAGGCAGGGGTCGCAAAGGTCCTGGCTGGCCTTAAGATGGATGGCCCTGGCCTGTAGCCCCCTCCATAAGGCCCCGCACTCCCCCAAATACTGCGGGCTTGCTCTGTTCTCTTAGGGGACGTGCATCTGAAGGTAGTGCCTCAGCTTGGCAGGATTATCTGTTAAACTGAGTGGAAACATTGTATCCCCTACTCGTAGAGACAGCCTTATGTAATGGAAAGAACACTTACCTGGGAGCCAGGTGGCCTGGGCTCTGGGGCCACCCTGGTCCTCACTAGATGTGACCTTAGGGAAGTCACTTTACCTCTCTTTTCTGACCTGGAAAATCAGGAGGCGGGACATAGTGATGGTTCGGACCCCTTCGGCTCCCTCAGGTTAGAACTCAGTGGCCCTGATTCCATCCAGAAGAGAGTGATGGGAGAAACCTGCCACCGCCGGGCGCTCCTGCCCCCCGGGGGCCGTGGGCCCGGCATTATATTCCACTGCAGCTCTGTGCACTATGGGTGAAATTCAGGAAAGGTAGGGGAAGACATTTCACGGTTCTCAGGAAGAATTCCATTCTCGGGCCCCAATGAGTCATCAGCAGCAAACTGACTGAGGGAGAGACAGGCTGCCCTTCAGTTACTATACTATTTCTTTTGAACCAGCATTTGGAAGTCTCTGGACTCCCACTTCGTATTCTCACAGTGGATCCCTCAGGATCCTCTCCCAGCCTGTTCCCGATTCCTCACCATTACCCTGACTCCTCCCCTGTTCCGATCCTGTCCCACCGAACCATCCCTTTCTCTGCAGCCTCTGCTGGGTTTTTCCATGGGCTGCTTTGTCTGTAGGACAGTTAGGAAAGCTGCGCCCCTGAAAGCTGAGTTGCCCCCATGCTCCCCCTTCCCCGCCCAAGGAGGCCCTTTGATCCCTCTGTTCCACTGAGCACAACCCTGGTTGCTTCTTCATCAAATGAGCGCAGACTGAGACCCACAGCAGCTCTGCAAGGCTATCACCATGGCAACGAGCATTCCCTCAGTTCTACTGTGAAGAGAAAATGGCTGTTAGAAGGAATGGCTAGCTGAGTCTCTATTACTCGGTCTATTTTGTTCAGGCCCCTCCTTTGTACCGGCTTTGAGAAGCTACACGCATTGAACCAAACGTCCCTTAGCTTTTAGCCTGCAGATTTACTTCACCTAAGAGGAGGAAAGGCAGAAGGAAGTTGAATCCCAATGAATGACAGCATTTTTCCTACCCTAAAAGTATATTTACATGAAGAACAGTTATCTGCTCTAAGCAGATCAACGAGGAACTCCATGAATACAGGAATCTGTGAGATCTGGTGCAATGTATTTTGTCTTATGGGTGGAGTGGAGCGTATAGATATTCCAATATTGCAGTGCAGTGGCCAAGAGATTCAGGGGACCGTAGGGCACAGACTCCAGCATTTCAGAAGAGTTGACTGACGACTTGGGGTGACGATGTTTGATTGCTCTCTCCTCTTATGCAAAGAGGTATATTGGTCCTATAGTCGTGAGGTAAGGTGAGCGTTTGTTTGGCATCCCCTGCTTCAAAATCAGCTTGGATCTTCACCTTGAATCCTTCCCCGTCGTGGTTAAGCTCCGTGGCGTGGGGAGGTGGCAGGAAACCCTGTGCAGGGCTGTGGAGCGGCAGGCTTCCCTCTTAACACAGCTGTGGGGATGCTGCAGGTTGATGGAAATGGCTGGGCTGCTGTTGCCGTGAATCCCAGACGTGCTGCTCTTTGGAGCAGGACTCTGAGCCTTCTCAAAGGGTCAGAAACCTTTAGCGCAGAGGTCACCCCCAGATCTTCCAAGGGACCCTGCACTGTCTGATAGAGGATATTCCCATTCCACAGGGAATGGCCTGGACCCTGTCCACTCCTGGCCTCGGCATGAGGAACTCTGGTAACAAGTTCTCAAAACCCAGACAACCTCTCTTCACTCTTTCTTGATGTGAGCAGGGAGACTGTTTTTGAATCAGAGCTCTGGTTTCTGTCTCAGAAATCCAAACACGTGTCTAAAGTGGACATTGTCTTTTCCAGTTTCTCTGCAGGTGGATATTGTCCCCAGCCAAGGGGAAATCAGCGTCGGAGAGTCCAAATTCTTCCTATGCCAAGGCAAGTGCCCGTGTCACACCGCATTTCAGGAAACCCACCCCTCAGAGCAGAGCCAGCGGCTGTGTCTACCCAGCTGATCGCAGTACGCCTGGAATCTTGGGTCACCCTGTGGCAGGCTCTCAGGGTGACCAGAGAGCCAGGGAAGTGCTCCTTCCTTCCCTTACCAAGGCTGCCCCAGGACAGAGAAATGTACTGTGTGGACTTCTGCTTCGTGATGGAGGAGGTCTAGGGATTTTCTTAGGGAAGTCAGCACAGCCCCCAGACCCCCTGCGCTGTGTACGTCCGGAGTCCCATGAATGACACTGGAGAGCAGGGCTGGTGCAGAAAGAATGCTTCCGTGGGTCAGTGTATGGATTATTACAATCCCTCAGAGCAGGAAAATCCAAGAAGGCCTAAAGAGTGCCTGAAAGAAAACTGAGTACCAGTACCTCTCTTTGCTGTGAGGACAGGTGTCCTGGGTTTCCCAGCTCGCTAGTGAATTCCAATATTCTGTCCCATTGCCCCAACCAGAGCTTAGAATTTGTTGGACCTGGTGTCCTTGTCTTTTGTTTAGAAAATATGCCTCCCTTTCCACAGCTCAGCTAATTATCAGTAAATGTCCTGTGGAGGAAAGGCTTCCTATGAGGCTTTGGAGTCTCTGTATGTGACATGCCTGGGATTTGGAACATGAAAGGACCAGGAAAGAGCTGAGCTAGGTGTAAACTGGCATTGAGCAAGTCGCTTTCGGCGGGGAGGGGCCTTGAAATGCTGTCATGATTGGCGCCAGATGAGGCGACTGGTGGCCGCTGGATGTGTTCCTTCCAGCGTTGCCTTCATTACAGCAATTGAAATGATCTGGACGTGCGGCCGTGGAGCCCAGAGCGCATCTTGCAAATAGCGATATTTATTGAAAACATGATGGGCCCTGAAAGGAAGGCTGCTTCATTTCCACACTAAGCATCTTTGCAGGGCGGGGGGTGTGGGCTGGGGAAGGGTGCTGTGCGGAGAGGCAGGACAAAGCCATGTCTGGGGATCCCAGAGCCCTTGTTCCAGCTCAGCGTCTGACAGCTCAGCAGCTGTATCCCAAGGTGCCTGGGGAAAGGACGCAGAGGCGATGCTGGCTACCTTCTTTGCAGCATTTAGGCAGATGCATTTGCCTCTCTGAGACGGGAGTGCTGAAATGACAGTCATGCCAGTTTGTGCAGACAGATGCTGGAATGAAAGTGGTTGGAGTCTACACTCCAAAACTAGCCAGCGTCTCATCTTGCACTTAAGAGACCGTAATCTAAGCCCTGGAAAATAAGCTGATGAGTTGGCTCAGACCAGCTAGCCTTGAGCTCAGATCCCAGCTATACAACTCCCTTTGCGCCCCATTCTGTGAGGTTATAAGCTCCTAGCTTAGTGCCTGGCACACAGTGGGTCCCCAATAAATATCTCTTCTCTTCCCTCACTAGGGATGGGACCACTATGAGAAATACCAGCACCAGTGTTTGTTGAGTTCTTTCCAAATACTGTTACAGACGTAACAATTAAACGCAGAAACCACCAACATCAACGGTCATTCCCGCCCCCCCTTGTCATCAAGCCTGATGAGCTCTTGCTTAGTAGCTCTTACTGAGTACCCACTGTCATCCTGGAGAGGTCGTTGTCTTTTCAGCATCAGCGTTTTGAAAATAATCTCTTCCTCTTTAGTGGCAGGAGATGCCAAAGACAAAGACGTCTCCTGGTTCTCCCCCAACGGAGAAAAGCTCACCCCGAACCAGCAGCGGATCTCGGTGGTGTGGAACGATGACTCTTCTTCCACCCTCACCATCTACAATGCCAACATCGATGATGCCGGCATTTACAAGTGCGTGGTCACTGCAGAGGATGGTACCGAGTCAGAGGCCACGGTCAATGTGAAGATCTTCCGTAAGATCCTCCCCCTGCTCCTTCTTCTGTGTTCCCTGTTCCCTCCTTTGTCTGGGAAGGCACATGGGTAGCAAAGAGAGTGGAATGGAGTAGAGGACCCACTGAGGGCTTGACAGGGCCCCTTTCCTCCTTTTCCCTAAGTCTTTTCTGCATCAAGCTAAGAGCTGCAGTACGTTTTTAAATGATCCTCGGCCAGCTCCGAACTCACAACTGTGTTCATGCTGGTCACAGCTACCTCCCACTGGCCTCCATTCTCTAAACTGAAATTACACCATTCCCAGAGGACTAGGGTGGGTTCCCCTCTCCCTTCCCCAAGGGCTGACTCACTGTTGTACACTTCAGCTTATCCCCTCTTATTTCACTTTTTCCTGCTGGTAATGGAGTGCAAAGGCTCGGTGGGGTGTGTGGGGTTATTATCTGAACACTCTGTGCCACTCAGAGCGGGTAGTTCCCACTGGCACCTCATTACCTTGTTATCATGCATCTGTCCTGTTGGCCAGGGTAATGATGGGTGACAGCCAATGGAACAGTACTGATTGTCACAGTATTTATTGCCATAAGCCTGCTTTTCTTCTGTTTTGTTCTTCAAAATTCTTTCTGCTGTAGACAGGCTGGGGATGGGATGCCAGACAGAGTGGGAGACCGAGGAAGGACTGGTGGCCCCTCCTATTAGTTGTAGAATAAATGTCCTACCAGTTCATTTTACCTGTGCACTGTGTTTCATTGGCTCCATCGCACATGGTGAAGACCCTTGGTAAAGACAATCCTTCCCCTCTGTAGACACTTTTCTGCACAACATGTGATAAATTTAGCACTTTGAATAGACACTATTTGCCGAACACGGGTGAGATATTCCCCTTCTTGTGCCAGTTGCTCTGCCTGCATCTTTGGCCAAGTGATGGGTCGGACCCCCTTTGGTACCACTGTATATATGGACTCGAATCCAAGCAGTATGGTGCCAGTGAAAAGGGATCTTTGTGGGAGAAACAGCCGTTTTCCCTCACTCTCCTCTTGTTCCTTTTCCAGAGAAGCTCATGTTCAAGAACGCGCCAACCCCGCAGGAGTTCAGGGAGGGGGAAGATGCCGTGATTGTGTGCGATGTGGTCAGCTCCCTCCCCCCAACCATCATCTGGAAACACAAAGGCCGAGATGTCATCCTGAAAAAAGATGGTGAGACCTGGCAGCTGCACTCTCCCCTGGGCCACTGAACCAGCTTCTGAGGCGTTCTAGCCCAAACTCAGATTCCAGTGTCCCCAAACCCCATGTCGTTTCCAGATCAAAGGTTGCATGTCTATAGCTTGTATGTTCAAGTGCTTGACTTTCTCTCCAAGGAAAAAGACAGATTTCCAATAGACTTTTGCCCTTGGCTCTATGTTGGAGCCAGGGCCACGTTTTCTTCTTGCAGCTTAGAGCCTCTCCCCACTCCCAGGTCCCGCCCCCCCATAAGCCTGAAAGCAGGCAGAAGGAAAGGCTCAGCCACCTGCCTGTAGGTACCAGTCCTCTGACTGATCCTTGGATGAACCTGCGCCTTGTCTCTTCTAGTCCGATTCATAGTCCTGACCAACAACTACCTCCAGATCCGGGGCATCAAGAAAACCGATGAGGGCACCTACCGCTGTGAAGGCAGGATCCTGGCACGCGGGGAGATCAACTTCAAGGACATTCAGGTCATTGTGAATGGTGAGGAGATCTGTTCTGCTTTCTCCACGGGTACAACCTTGGCTCATCCGTGGCAACTGGGTCCACCCCTTCCCACAGCCCACCCCTAACCTCTGCCTTGTCTTGTTTGTTTGTTTGTTTGTTTGTTTTTAAACACACTTGTCTTTGGGTCTCCCTCAACTGTGGGGACTTTTAGTGCGGTTCTGGAATGTCCTTCATTATCTTATAACACTAGAAACTTGCCCCATGCTTACTAGTAAATTCTTATTCACCCTTCACTGTCCTTGAGGTTACTGTAACTGTTAAGTTAGTCCCCTGGTTCAGTCTTCAAAGAAAATATTATAATAAATTCAGGCCTCAGAACAGTCAGAATCCTAGTCCGTGGGCTTATTAATCTTAATTTGCAGTGTCAAACAAACACACCCATGGAATCGATCTGACATTTACAAGATGTTTACAGGAAATGTCAGTACTAAGAAAATAAGTAAATCATGGTTAAATTGCTTTGGATATGGATATATATTTTTTGCCAAACTCTCCCCCTCTCGTTCCTTTGGTAAAAAATCGTTTGTGCACAGGGTTGTTTGTGACAGTCCCAGAGAAATGTCGCTCTTTGGTGAGCTGGTGCATTTCAAATTGGTATTAACCATTTAATCACTAGAAGCAGCAGTTTTTAATTTTTTCCAACATCAAGAGCACCCCCCCCCTTTTTTTTTTTTGGCGGTACGCAGGCCTCTCACTGCTGCGGCCTCTCCTGTTGCAGAGCACAGGCTCCGGACATGCAGGCTTAGCGGCCATGGCTCACGGGCCCAGCCGCTCCACGGCATGTGGGATCTTCCCGGACCGGGGCACGAACCCGTGTCCCCTGCATCAGCAGGCGGACTCTCAACCACTGTGCCACCAGGGAAGCCCAAGAGCCCCCTTTTGAAAGTCAAGTTCCATCAATCATGGTAGTTGTAAGATTGGTATGCATTGATTAAGAAAATATATAATGATGAATAGCCACTGTAAATAGAATACCATTGTAAAATGAACGAAACATACTAATATAGCTTCTAAATCTGTATTATTGAAAAGCAATATTATATATTGTTATATGTATAACAATACTATGTATTGTTGAGAAGTACTAATGTGCATTTGTGGATGAATTATTGATCCAGTTTACAGTAATTATTTAGTGCACACCTGAACTTAGATCCCTTGCAGTAACTGTGCAGCTGCCCAGGACTCTTGACCATCTGACCTGGGGTCTCCCGGAAGTGCCTCTTCTCCAGGCCAGCGGGTCCTTCCAAGTTTTCCCCGCCACCCCTGACAGTCCTTCTTTCCTTCAGTGCCGCCCACCGTCCAGGCCAGACAGAGCATAGTGAACGCCACCGCCAACCTCGGCCAGTCCGTCACCCTGGTGTGCGATGCCGAAGGCTTCCCAGAACCCACCATGAGCTGGACAAAGTAAGAAACTGGCTCGTGCTTTTTATCGCCGACTAGTGGAGAAGGAGACCTTGCAGGGCCTGTCCTGCGTTGGCGTTCCGAGGGAACAGGGGTGGGCGGCTGGGGAGCGTCAGCTCTGGGTGCAGAATGGATTCTTTTCTGTCAGGTCCTCTTGCCTTGTGTGTGCATTGGATTCCTTCATTTTCAGTTTGTGGGGCAGAACCAGAGGTTCTCTTTGGAATTTCGGGGGGCGCAATTTGCAGCCCTTGGGCGGAACTGGAGGTTTGGGTAGAGGAATCACGAGGAAGTACAATTTGGTGTCTTAACGTTCTGTGAAGATTCCGTCCGTGGGCTCGGTCCACGTTTTATGGAAACCAATTAAAAATTAACCTCTTAGCTCTGTAGTCAAAATCACGGTCGTTTACATTTCTGTGCCCTGCAGGGACGGGGAGCAGATAGAGAATGAGGAGGAGAAGTACCTCTTCAGCGACGACAGCTCTGAGCTGACCATCAGGAAGGTGGACAAGAACGACGAGGCCGAGTACGTCTGCATCGCCGAGAACAAGGCCGGCGAGCAGGATGCGTCCATCCACCTCAAGGTCTTCGGTAAGGACAGGGAGGTCAAGGTCACCCCTCTGCCACAGCTCCGCTTACCCCACACAGTCCATCAGCAAGACCCTGTCCACTCTGCCTGGGAACCTACCCCCCTTCTTGCCAGCTTCACCACGTCAGCCCTAGTCCAAGCCATGCATCGGTCCCCTTCAGCACCTCCCAATCACAGTAGCTAGAATAACCTTAAGCGCCACCGCTCTGTTTCAGGTCCTCCAGTGGCTTCCTATTGCAACCAGAATAAAATCCAGACGCCCTGCCGTCAACAGAGGCCAGATCTGAGCTAGCCCCTGGCTCCCTTCCTGACCTCATCATGCCTCTGCTGTGCTCTACATGTAAAGCTCTCCAAGCCCGGAAGCCCTCTTCTTCTCCCTCAGACACACTAAGCTTGTTCTCTGTCTCAGGGCTGTTACACTAGATGCTTCTTCTGCTTGGAATATCATTGCCCCAGATCCCCTGTGAGCCGCCCTCGTGTCATCCCTAATCCAGATGTCAGTGCGTCGCTCAGATCAGCTTCTCAGTGACTCCTTCCCTCCCTGCTCTGGCCAGTGCATCTCCCTTATCTTCACCCCACCCATCTCTTCTCCAGTGCCCTTCTCGGTACCTAAACTCATCTCATTTACATACTGGTTTGGGGAGTTATTTCTCCTGCCTCCACTCTTACACGTCACTTTATCTCTGGCATTCCAAACAGCGCCAGACTCCGGAATAGGCCCTTGCTAAATATAAGTGACCAAGTGGCTGCCTCTGTCTCCATTTCTTCTTTCCCTGGCCTGTGTGAAGCAGGGTCATAAAAGTCATGAAAAGAACCTCCATAGCTCTACTCACTTCGTCTCTATAAACTCAGTTAACTTCCGTTCATTTAGAGTTGAAATGCACTTTGACCTGACTTTGCAAACAAATTTGTGGCAGAGAGATGTTTAACCTAGTGGCTCTCAGCTCTGTCTGCCCGTCTTTTTTAAAAACACAGATAAGCGAGTCCACCGTACGTGGTGCTGCCGGAGTACAGACACCGCAGGGGCAGCCCTGGCGCATGCAGCTCCCTGGTGGTTCCAGCACCTGCGCTTTGGGAACCTGCCTGGGACCCACTTGTTTAGCCTGATAAGGAGAACTCATTGATGTTTGTAAACACAGACCTTTGAAAACCAAGCGTTTATGTGCAATTGGACCCGCTATCCCAGATGCATCCCGTTTACTCATTAATGACAATTAATTAATGGGCTTAGAAACAGGTTATCAGTTTGGTCTAAATTAACTGTACATACTTGAAAGTGAAGCTAAACTTCTTGGAAAATATTCTTGACAGTCTTTTCTCTGATTCTGGCTTATCTACCCCAGTCACTGTGATTTTAAGTTTTTCTAGATGAAAGACAGATGCATTTGTTGATGTATTCCTTAATTTTCACAAGTATTTACTAAGCGCCCTTGTTGCTGGGCGAGGGGCTACAGAGATGAGTAAGATATGGTCTTTTGACCCTGAGAAGCACAAAAAGGGACATAAACATATAAGCCTATAAGTTATAATAGATGGTGTCAGTTAACAACATTTGAGTACCAGCTGTGGGCCCAGCCATTGCCCAGGTTACGAAGATGAATGACATGCACTCTGTTCTCATCAGTGGGTTCACAGGCTAACGGAGATAATCAGTGCTGACATTTTTAATAACCCATTATAATGACTTCATAATAGCAATATGCACAGTGTTTTATAAGAAAAGATTTGATTTCTGGTCCTGTGTGACAGAAGTTAGAGAAGTGTTCGAAGATGATATGCTTTTCCCAAGTGGGAGTTTCCCAGATGCAGGAGAGGTGGACAAGCCTTTCAGGGCAGGCCACACAGGCGTCGAGGCCGGAAGGGCCAATGTTGTGGTGAATGTGAACTTGTGAACGAGGACTGTGTCTGCTCCACTCACAGGCATACCCCCAGGGCCTAGAACATCACCTGGCATATAATAGACACCCGTGTTTGAATAAATGAGGGAATCAAAATTAGTTTTATATGAATGAAGCATAACGTATGTGGCAGGGGGATGAACCTGGAAACATGTAATCACTTGTCTTTAGGAACTTCTTTTAGATATCAGCTCCATAAAGTAATAATAATAATACCCAACACAAAGTGAGCACGTATAATGTGCTTAGCACATTGTATGTAAAGTACTGTCCATAAGTGACCTCTTTTAACCTCGTCACAATCCTACGAAGTAGATTTAATTTTTATCCCCATAATGCAAGTGAGGAAATTGAGCACAGAGAGATTAGGTGTCCTACCCAAGGAGCCGGGACTCAAACCCAAGCTTTCACATCCATTCCCTGGGCTAGCAATGGTGGTCACTCCTCCATGAAACCCAGTTTAACACATAGTACGTCTGAATTCCATATGGAATGACTAGTGGATTCTGCCTTTACCTCCATGGGTTACGTGGTTTCTCTACGGAAGTACGCTCAGTTCTAACTTGGCTGGTCAAGAAGAGATCTTGGCTTCTGTTCCAGGCCTCTCTGGTGGCGATGGCTGCCCCAGGAAGGAGGAATGTGTAGTGTCAAGAGCCGTGTGGGGCTGTGCTAAGGTGAAGAGGGTGGGTGAGTCCAGGGAAGGAGGCAGGGAAAGTAGTATGCAGGAACTGTGGGACGTCAGGATTTGTATTTCCACCCTCCTCCCTTGCCACAGATTCCCTCCTGCATCACACACACACTCTCTCACACACACACACACATTCACATTCTCTCTCTCACACACACACTCACACACACACACTCTCTCACACACACACAGTCTCACGCACACACACTCAGACACTCCCTCTTTCACACACACACTCTCTCACATACACACTCACGCACACACACACACTCCCTCTCACACACATACTCTCTCTCACACACACAGTCTCTCACACACACTCACACGTACTCTCTCTTACACACACACACAGTCTCTCGCACACACGCACACACACACACTCCCTCTCTCTCACACACACACACACTCTCTCACACACACACACACACTCTGTCTCTCATACACCCACACTCACACACACATTCTCATACACCATCATGCACACACACACACACTCTCTCTCTCACACACACACTCTCACACACACACACACTCTCACACACACACACTCTCTCACACACACACACTCTCTCTCTCTCTCTCTCACACACACACACACACACACACACACACACACACACACACTCCCTCTCTCTCTCTCTCTGTGTCTCTCACTCCACTACCACAGTTCTTTCCCAAGACTGCAGCTGGGAGAATGTTCATTAGGCAGCCCAGTAGAGCAAACAAGTAGATGTGGGCCGACTCCTGCAGAGACAGGTAAAAGGATCATAGACGCCCCATCCTCCGGGCCCCATCCACCTCTAATCTGGGCCCCATCCTCCTCTGTAACATCCTGAGGAGAGTTCACATGGTCTCCTTGGAGCAACCTGGTACCCCATGTATACCCTCCTTTCTCTCTTCATTTCACATTCCTGACCTCCTTTCTCTCCTCCTCCTTCTTGCCTCCCCATGGATTTTGGAGATTGGTACTAAGGCCTGGGAGCCGGGTGGGGAAGGGCTAGCTAGTTGGGACTTCCTCTTTCTTCAGCCCCTTTTTCCCTCTCCTTGGCCTTCTGCCTTGCCATCGGGGACCAGCATTTGGGGAGAAATGGGGTAGGTTCCCCAGAAGCAGCAGAGTTCAGAGGAGGAAAGAAGCCTGTAGCTTAGATAGTAAAGAAGTTCTCAGAACTCTGGCTTCAAGAAGGGATCGCAATTAGTGTGTAAGGGACATACCTAAATTAGGGACTATCGTTTATCCTAAGTCATACCATTTTTTCTTAAGAAAGGGACGTGTTCTAGCATGCACTGCCCTAGTTACCAGCCAGAAGCTCTTTTTACTAAGAGCATCCTCCCTTCCTTTAAACTTGGCAGTAAATTTCCATTGCTCCCCTCCCCTGGGCCCTTCTGAAGAAGTATTTTTGTCTCCACAGATTCTTATTATGCTCGTACGAATGCTCTTGAGGCCTCATGGTGCTGTGGTCTGAGGCAAGTTCACCAGTGGGCAGAAGCTTTGCTTAGCTGACCCCTTAGGACCAAAGCAGCCCTTGTGAGTTACAGCAAAGGACAAACAGGCTCCTGAACGAAGGGGTACCCTGTCATGCCCAACACCTCAGTGCAGGGAAGCAGGGGCCCTGGAGCCCTCCTGGGCCTTGCAGGACCCTGGAATGGAGTTAGAGTAGACAAGTCTGGCCCTCAGTGGCCAGGTGCAGAGCCATGGATGTGCTGGATGGAGAGAGCAAGCATGCTTAGAAAACTCACAAAGACAGCTGTGCTCACAGGAGGGTCCGTGGGGAGAGGTGCAATGGAACATTCTAAGGCATTAAGTCCCATGGCGGCAGGTAGAGAACAAAACAGGGATCCAAAGTCACAAGGGCTGAGAATGGAGGTTCTTTAAGATGGTGCACATACCATCCACAGATAAAACCTGGAGAGATTCTTCTAGATGCTGGTGTTCAGAAGGAAGGATGCTTTCATTAGCAGGATGACCCCACATCTGTCCGTGTCTGCTCAGTGAGGCCCATCATCCCAGAGTAATTATTCAGAGCATGCCTTTAACTCTCCAGAATGCCCCAGTCTGGACAATAAATGGTGTTGCTATCCTATTTCCAAGGCAGCATTCTAAGCCTTCAGTTAGCTCCAACAATAGCATTGCTTCTGAAGTGCAGAAAGGAATAAGTTACCAGCGAGAAGCTTGCCTTCCTTCCAACAGCCTCTGTAGCCCATACAAAATTAGCCATTGTTGATCATGTTTTTAACAAAAATATATTTTGCCTTGTTCAAAGACTTACACAGTGTAGCCTTTATAACCATCTGGGAAATGGAGTCACCAAGACCAGATATTATTAATAGATGTTAACTGGCCCTTGTCTGTCTTCTGCTAACCTTTTGCTGCCAGGACAAAGCACTGTGGAGTGGGACAAGGTCAGCAAACACTGTCTGGATCACAATGTCCATGTAGGTTCCAAGAGGCCAGAAAGTCAGCCTTCCTGTGGCTGCCTCCAGACCCCAGACCAACTGTCAGTTCAGTGAATTCAGTTGTTTGGCTGATTTTTTAACTTTTCAATCTGTGATTTTAACAGTAGAGAAATGCAACTTTTATTTTACCTCTCTGAAACCTTCTGTTCAACACACTTAACACTTACTCTGTCCAATATGAATTATAACCTCCTTGAAAGTTCTATTGATCAAGATAGACACAGAACCTTCCTGTGGGAAAACCTCACTCATGTGGGCTCCATCAGTTCAAATTTGTAATCATTTGACCACATTGGATTGAGATGTGCCTGGGTGCTAGCCACCAAAAAGGATTTGCTATTCTAGGTACCTCGTGTAAGTGGAATCTCATAGAGTCAGAAAGTACGTTGGTAGATGCCAGGGGCTGGGGGGTAGGGGGTAGGGAGGGAGAATAGGGAGTTAGTGTTTAATGACAGAGTTTCAGTTTAGAAAAGTGAAAAATCCGGGAGATGGATAACAGTGAGAGTTGTACAACAATGTGAATGTACTTAGTGCCACTGAACTGTACAGTTAAATATAGTTAAAATAGTATGCTTTATATTATGTGACTTCTACCACAATAAAATACATTTCAAAAAAAAAAAAAGTGTTTGCGGAGATTTCCCTGGTGGTCCAGTGGTCAAGAATTCGCCTTCCAGTGCAGGGTACACGGGTTCGATCCATGGTTGGGGAACTAAGATCCTACATGCCGCGGGGAAACTAAGCCCGCGCACCACAACTACTGAGCCCGCCAGCACTCTGGAGCCCGGGCACCACTAACTAGAGAAGCCCGCGCACCTCAGCGAAGACCCAGCACAGCCCCCCAAAATTAATTAATTAATTAATTATTTTTTAAAAAAGGATTTGCTATCAGCAGGCCATTAGTACAGATTAACTGTAGGAGAATATTTGAACTAAATGAGTCATCTTATATAGAAGTAGATATTTGCTACAGAAAATGCACAGCTCCATCATTGGTTTCTGTTTATTAAGACACAATTAAGCCCTCAACTTGGAGGATATGTAATAGGCAGTAGTTTTAATAGTCTACTTGGAGTTACTGTATGAATTTGAATATAAAGGAAATGTAATTCTTTCAAAAGTTATCCATAATTCTGATTTATTTATTGTTTGTTTGTTTATCTAGCCTGGCCTTTTTCTCTATTAGTGAAATAAGTTATATTTGTGCAGTGTTATCTTTTCTCTTCGATGGATTTCAGAGTATAGTGATTTCAGAGGATAATTGTTTTAAATTGGGAAAATTCAATTTTCTCTAATGTTTTTACATTTAAACTCAGCTTTCGAATGCTTGTGCTTTCTTGCATTTCCCAGAACATTTGGGAAATGAGCTCATCTCAACTCATCTTATTCCCAAGCCCCAGCCCACTCCCCAGCCCCCAGCGAGTCACCCACCACGTTTCCTTACTTGAGTTAATGCTAACACAACCCTCCTAGGTATTAAGAATCTCAGAGTCATTTGGACTCCTAATTTCTTCTTTGGATTCTTCCCATCTCTACTTGCCCTCTGTTCGCTTCCACTTCCTGTAAAGCCTTCCTTCAGCATCTCTCTTGAAGCTGCCTTTTCTCCTCCATCCCCCCCCCCTCCACCCCCAAGAGGACGTTCAGGATTGTATTACGTCACATCTGGGGCAATGCCAGGGCTTCCAGGTTAGTTTTCCCACCTTCGGGTTTTCTCCATCTTCAATTTTGCCTAGATTAACCTTCCTTTAATACAAATGAGCATTTCATTCCTCTGACTAAACACTGTCTGTGGGTCTCCAACAGGCAGGGGATAAAATTCAAGCCAGAGTTGTAACCGGGCAATCAAGATGCTCTCTGCCTGGGTCCAGCACTGTCTCCCACTGCTTTGAGGCACAGACACACAGACCCTGACGCTCTGCTCTCTTCCCCACCCTCTCTCCACACATTCTTGCTTCTTTGCTTTCATTCACGTGCCTTTCTACACTCGGAATGACTCCGTGTCCACCCAAAGTTCCACGTACTGAAAATCTCACAACCCAGCCCCAAAGACAGCCCCAAAACTGTCTCCTCATGAAGACTCAGCCAGAGGAGAGCTCTTCCTCTGCTCAGGCCTCCTACACCACCACCCTCCACACTCTCCCCATATGGGACGTTGTTATTACCGTCACTTTGGTGTCGTCATATGCCTGCTCCATTGTAAGCTGCTGGGGGGGTTCAGCTCGTTAACTCGTACAACACCTAGAATAGGGCCTTATGATTAATAAGTTGATAACCTTTGTTGAATGGTGCCTTTATAATTCAAACCTGGAAAGCTAAAAAAATGTCAAACTCATGGAAGTGTTCTGTCTTTTCAGCAAAACCCAAAATCACCTACGTAGAGAACCAGACTGCCATGGAACTAGAGGAGCAGGTCACACTTACCTGTGAAGCCTCAGGAGACCCCATTCCCTCAATCACCTGGAGAACATCCACCCGAAACATCAGCAGCGAAGAAAAGGTATAATGTCGCCCAAGAGTTTCAGGGCCATGGAACGCAGACTCTACGTGGATTGAGTCTGCCCCATGCCCAGTCCTCTTTGGTGAACCAGAAAATGGGATGTGGTCACTGGAGGCTGCAGCCAGGTCCTCTGGCCCCCCTCCTCCAGCCTGCCCTGGCTGTGGCCTTCTCAGCATCCCCTTGAGATGGAAGGGGCACAGTTTCTTGCATGGATTTGCAGGGGTGTGATGGTAGTGGGTATGGTTAGGTTAGACGTTGCAAGGAGGAAGGGGATAGTGATTTTCAAACCAAGGTTATGGAGCTGGGAGGAGCAAGGGAAGTGAAGGTCCCAGTGCACTGGGTGATATTAGCATCATCTCAGGAGCACCCAGGGAAACGTGTCCCGGAACTAATAGGGATCATGATGAGCCTATTAATTCTTCTCCTTGTGATTTGTATGTTCATGCTCTACATGCACTATATGCACAAAAGCTTGGTTGCCTTTGTGTCTGCCTGTATTCTCGGCCACACTTGCGTATCATTTTGTTCTAAAGGCAAAAATAATTAGCAGTTTCTACGTGATGATGATTACACCAGGCGCTACAATATATTCTCTGAGAGATGAAGAACATTATAGCAACCTTCCTGGCAAATTTAAATGACTGGGAAGATTGAGCTCTCAAGCACATGGATTTACAGGCCGCTGGAAAGCTGTCTTTATTATTAACAGTCTGTAAAGATTGAGGTAACCCCACATCAGGCAGCCTTTTGCTATTGAGTGGGCCGAAAGACAGGGGCAGGCAGAAGCTTGGTTTTAAAGCAACCTAAACCAATCTCATCTCATATATCCTGTAGTAATGGCTTCGTTTTAGTTGGCCAGAGCTTTGTCACCTATTCAAGGAGTAATGGCCTTAGCCTTGAAGAACATTTATAATGGATTGCCGATTGACTAGAATGTCACAAAAGATAGATCTTCACTCTTCTGCCTGCCTAAAGGAAATCCCTAGAGAGGGTAGACTTAAAGCTAAAAAGGGATAGCGTGAAATTTCAGAGCCAAATTTGGGATTTGCATTTGAAGAACTGATTTCTCTCCTACTAATAGAAAACAAAGCTAAATCAAGAGGAACAGAAATTGCTGTTCCAAAAAAACCCATTAATTTTTGCAAGTTTTACCTCCAGAGTTCAATTCAACTTAACAAAAACTCAACCGAGGAACTGCTAAGTATTTTTGAAACTTGCATACGCTGTTTGATATTGTGAAAATCAACTGAATTAAGTAATGTAGAGTTTACTTGGATACTTTATCAACATTGGAATTAAACCCTCAGCTCAGATTTTAGCTCCCATCGTGTGTGTTACGTGGATTGAATGTACATTTCAAGGCTTAAACCACAGGGCTGCCACTTGGCAGATTTTTCTACATCAGGCTTGAGAGTAGATTTGTCCAGAATGACCCAGTGTATATCTTTGATCTAGAGGGAAGGACAGAAATAACATCTACCCCGGATGAATGATGGTTTTAAATTCTATATCTTTCCTAGGAGTAGCTCAGCGATCAAGCTAGACCAGAAGAGTTATTAAGATTTGTGCCTACCTCAGGTCCTTTAATAGGTGGGCACTTCTGGCTTGTATCTGTGAATTCATTTTTATAGAATGAGAACAAAAAAAACAGGCATTAATACACACTCATACTTCCTAAATATTAAAACCAAAGGTGTCTAACAGAGACCATCTCAAGCCAAGTAGGCTTTGCATAGTTCAATTATCAGTGTAGATCATTAGTCTCAATCTGAGATAATTATTGAAGCCCAGCCACATAGGTTGTGCTGCGCTTTCTTTTACTGTGGACCGCCTTCAAGTGACATTACTGCGACATGAATGAATCAGTGTTAGAACAAGCCTTCCAGATTGGCCAGTGATGTGACCCCAGGTCAGCATATTTGCCTAAACGAAACGCTGTATAGAAAAATTGCTATTTCTACTCATTACATATTGACATCAAAGAGGCATGATAGTCATCTTATACTGGGGGGTGGCTAAAAATTAAGAAAACAGAGATGGCCTATTCGTGAGCCAGGTGGTCTCCAGATAGTAAATTTCACTTTTACTTTGACAGCTGCTCCTCGTTTTCTCCTCCAGCTGAAGTTGCATTATACATATTGATAATTAGGTATCAAGATTATTAGGGTCACAGAATTATAGGAGGGCAAGAAAACAGTTTTCTTTTGAAAGTCAAGACTACGCGCTGAGCAGTAAGAATAGCCAATTGTTTCTCATGAGAAAGGAAAGAAGCCTCCCGAGAAAGTAGATCACATAACCTGCCAGAATCATAGAAGGTTGGAAGGAAGGGTCCTTTGGAGGTTATCTAGTCTCACTGCCGAAAAGTCACTCAGCCCCTGCTTGAAGGGTGACAATGTCAGTTCTTTGCAGTCAGGTGGCCAACACTGATGATCAAGAGGCCCTGATTCGTTGCCCCTGCCACTTCTCAGCCTTCCAGCCCCTACAGCTCAGTCCTTTGTGTGAGAGCCATTAACTAGCTCTCCAGTTTTCCTTTAGTCAGCCTTCTGCCCTGTAACACATCCAGTTATTTTCACTGCTGCTCTTATCTTACGGTTTCCGCAGCCTTCACCTTTCTAGTCGTCCTGTACTAGAGAGCTTCACTTCCCTAGTGTCCCCTATAACTTTGTGGTGCCCAGTATAGCTAATGCAGACTTCCTGGCTCATTGCTCCCTTGATCTGGACACTGAAATGCTGTCAACACCACGTTAACCCTGTAGCAGTTTCCTCGTTCTGTTGTCTCCTGTTGAACTGCATTTAAGCTGCATATCCCCTGTCCTGTCCTGTCCTTATGCAATCGATTGCTTAACCAATAATGTAGAATTTTGTATTTATTTCTATTAAAAATTGTTTTGTTTGTTGCAACCCAGTATTTCTCAGTGGGGGTCACAAATGACAGTTTGGGAAGACTCTTTCTTCACTGGGACTGTCCTGTGCATTGCAAGATATTTAACATCCCTAGTCCCTTCCCTTTAAATGTTAGTAACCAACTCTAATCATTGTCATTACCAAAAGCGTCACATACAGGAACACTCCTTGGCTTGAGAACGACTATTTTAGTCCATCTTTCTGACCAGTCAGGACTGGCTTTCATCAGAACTGTCCTTAGAGTTCTTTGGGTCCAGGGCCTTTCAACCAATGTAGGTGCCCCCTGTTTTATCTATGTTTGTTCAAAGTAATGGGGCATAGCAGTCGATGGTGACCCCAGTTCTAAGCATAAGACCCAAGGGCAGGCAATTCAGCCTTCCCCATGCAACTGCCATCTAGCATCTCTGTTAGCTGTTGCTTCCAACCTGGTATGAACGCTTGTTTGAAATATCTTTGTCCAAGTCACTGATAAAAATGTTGACTGGAACATGGTCAAGTACAGAGCCCTTAGAATGCCACCGGCGCTTCCCTGGGGTGAGTGGCCCAGAAGGTGGAGCACATAATGCCTTGGTGCTCTCTTCTGATTCTGATGACTTTCATGGAAGGCTCAATGCTCCCTTTAATAAAGTTACTGACAGCAGAAGCTGATTAAAGCAGCTTGGTCTTTTGCTTCACTGCTTAGTTGAATCTAGTGTTAATCCTTTTTAGGAGGAGAGGGGAGAAAAGGCTTTCACTCATAGGCTTGTGGTGACTTTCTAATGGAATACGGGCGTTCTTCATGTAAAAAAGAAGGGAAGAAAAGCAAAAACCAGTACACTGAGCCCAAAAGTCACACTCTGTCTTTGACAATGTCTCTAGGTTTAGTCTAGTCACTCATTTAAGATTGATTATAATCAATCCGTTCGGCTTCAGCTAGTTGAGTTGGTTTCACTCAACAAATGATAATAGCTAGGCTAAGTTTGGGTCACTAAGATCATTAGAGGAGATCATCTGTCTGAAAGTTAATCCATTTCTTAGTGGTCACTAATCTGTTGACAAAAAAAATTTGAATATCGTAATGGGTCAGTTTGATCGATGTGTATGGAGGTCATTGTGGTAACTGAAGTTTGTGCCTCCGCATCATTTTATTACCCATCCTATCGAGGCTCACGTTTTAAATTGCCACAGTGAGTGGTGCCAAATTCCAGGTACCATTTACATATTGAGTGAGAGCGCCGGATGGTAATTTATATACTCTCTCCCTGGCAGAACAAGTCCAGTGGGTGCTCATTTGAACATACCAGTGCCTTTGAAGAGACTGGGAAAGAAAGGCTTGTGAAGCCTTAATGTCTAAGGAGAAGGAGAGGAGCAAAGAGTTGAGATCAGAAGAGATAGAAATAAGTGAAAGGCATTTCATGAACCTTGAATTCTGAGTAAACAGAGTATCCTACAAAACAGAGAAACCTTTTGAAATTCTGAATTCCCTAGAAACCGAAGTTTCTTTTCACCAGAGAGAATTCCTCATTCAGTGTAAAACAGGTGCTCACTCTTAAACGTTGGGAAAGGTGCCTGCATTGAGCAGTTTGGAGTCTAGTTTTTCCAGGATGTGGGCAGAAATATAACAGGGAATACTTAGGATAAGTGTCTATCACTTCACTTCACTTTAATTTGTATACATACTCCTACAGACTTGTGTGTAAGATCATAAAACATGCAAATATTAAAAGAAACTGGAACTAAAAGTTTTGGGAGCACTGCTAATCATATACTAGTTTAGGTTTTAAGTATGTATATTTGCATATCAGGTTGTCTTAAAGTGGGCTACATGCCTTCATCAAATGATCAGGGTCGAGATATATCCTATTATCCTACCAGGCACACAGGTCAGGCTACTATAAGCATTGTGTTACTAGCACCTACTTATTCTAAAAGCCACAAAACCACAGTAAGTTAGGAGAGACACAGGAAGAATTGTATCTGAAAAACAAACAACTCCATATGATAGGGCCCCTGAAAGTTGTCTTGATTCATGTAGCCCTGGCATGTGACGGACAAGCTTTTAAGTGATGTGGAAACGGCAACCACATTTGACATGTTGGCCCGCTGTTACTTTGGTC